AATAGTCTATTAAATAAGGTTTCAAGCTTAGTTACCTGTGTTAAACATTCTTGAAGAGTGTCACAATGAATAGCTACATATGACTTGTAGCATCTTTATGCATTTTTATTTTGCAACAATTTATCCCTTCAACTCAGTAATTATAATTTTGTTGTCAAGCATCTTTAGTTGCAGCAGAGTTATGGATTACAGTAGTGATGTCAGCTATGTCCCAACATTTATCTTATAGACATCGTGAAGACTAATGCGTTTTTGTCTTGGATCGGGGGGGGGGCGCATTTATGGCCTTAATAAATAGTGGTGTAGACAGGAATGCCGCTTGTTAAGTATAACGTATAATTTCTGAGAATATTTGATTAGATGGTAACACCTGCAGCAGCAGCAAGAGCAGCAAGAGCAGCAGTACAGTATATACTGAAATGGAATAATTAATAAACGTTGCTAAAATTAGACTAGTCAGTTCTTTCGAAAGATATAAAAGCAGCGTAATTCCGTTAGTTTCTCTGTTCGAGTGTTCGAGTGTTCAAGTGTTCTAATTACTTTATTGTAAATAAATGAGTAGCTCTTTATACTCTGAAATACATTCATTCCCTGGTAAATTATCGGTATAGTAGTGAAACCGCTAATCCCTATATCGTTAATAATAATAATCGCTTCTTGTCCTGCGATTATTCCCGTGACAACTACGAAATTAATTGTTTATATCGATGCGCATTGTTATAATTAAAACACATTGTACCCCAACCGGTAGACTATCGACTTAATCCCACGATTATGATTGTACTCGAGGAACAATTTGTTATCCGGGATTCGTGTCACTCATCGACATAGTCGTAAATGTAAAAGCCTAGTGTTTAAAGGTCACTAACTGTATACTATAAGTAGGAGAAGCCACGCTCTGTTCAATTCCTACGAGTTAATAGTCAACCGCTCTCCCGTGACTGTTGACTCGGCAACATACTGTATATCGTTTTCTTTATAAATACTCGTCCGTAGACAATATGTTTTTAACGAAACGCCTTATCCACGTCTTCTTCAGTAAATGTTGTTCTTTAGTAGTTTTGTCAACTTTGTAAACGTTAACAAGTTTTAAAAAAATGAAGTAACACAAGATTATCTCCTAATAATAATAATACGTACGTAACAACGTAATTGCTGACATTGACATTACATGTGGACATTTATTGCTGACATATAGTACCCGTACATAACTAACAACATATTGGGAAATATAAAACGAGTAGGTAGAATCTCTCGAAAGACACGCTCAGGAATTAACCAATTTTTGTAACTAGTATAGCCCTCTTACATACTAATAAAACAAACATACAGTCCCTGGAAATTGTACTAACCGAGCCGTGCCTTCTGTTATTAAAATGCCTTTGTCCACCTGTTGTCAAGACTAGCATATTAATATGACTGCAATTTGATTTAGAATCCCGACTAGAGCAATGGGGGAAAAAAGAGGGAGGGGAGGTGCGCTAGTCATTTCGAATTACCATAAAAAATATAAGTAAACAATCTTTACTCTAGACCCTCAATTCATTCAAGACTGCTGTAAAATTATTGAGTTTTAAAAAGTAAACTCTCCTATTAATAATAATAACGCTTATACTTCAATGTCATAGAAAGTACTGACAAGCAAATACTAAACAGCTTTGATAAAAAAATAGCCTATGCGACGCGGACGAGAATAAAATTTTATTCGCCAATATTAATGTTATTTTGTTTTGAGTAAACCATTTTTTCCCCAGGGTTAACATTGTGTATAATACGAATCCCGCGCTTAGTAAGACAATTGGTGGCAAATGTCATCATTCTTAATAAAGTCTTATTTTTCGAATCAATTTATTTTGTGCATAATTCACTTGATAAATCCTCGTTGGTAGCACATTGATCAATAACAAGCGATACGTTCATTGGTTCCCATTAACATTACCAAATTATATCATGACAGGTTTAAATAGGCAAACGAAAGCCTTCAGTTCTAGAAAGAGAATTTCCAATCACCACATCGTGCCATCCCTGCAGTTTGCCTTGATGATTTGCAACTGTACTATGGGACTTATATATTAGAGAAACCAGACCATAAATTACTATTTATTATTATGACAAAATATTTGGGATTCTTAATCAGGCATAGCGTTTTGAACACTGAGGAAATTTTACAACATGTGCGTTCCAAATACAATATTAATAACTTTTTATTCTATCACTATAAAGGATGAGGAGAGAGGTGTGTAATCCTCTGAAACAACCTCCACCAAAATTGGCTGGCATACTCCTGCTATATACAACTAAGATCTAAGAATACGAATAATAATACGTAGGGCGCAGATATATTAAATTTGTAAGATAAATATTTACAAAAAGAATTTAAATTTTTGGTATTATTTGGTCCCATGGGAGCATTAAACGTGATGCTTGTTTTCAAATTAACCCGGTGTCATTCTAATAACTCAAATTTCGGCCGTTTTCGTTGGCGATTATTTGATGTTTCATCATCACCATATACATCATCAATGTATCTAACAGCGCCCGTTGTTGGTGTGTTTGACGAGCTTACGATATTGAGCATCTGCATATATTCATCACCCACGGGATACGGAACTGCATGGTTATATTCCTCGCCCTCATTCGGTATAGAAAATGCTAGAGATACTTGTGGTGGACCCCAATTTTCGTTCAAATTGCTGCCATTGTCTATCCGCGAAGGTTGCTCAAACATTCTGATATCTTGGAAATTTGGCAAATTTGGCATGGCTGCTTTAAGATGCATACAATATTTATCCAAGACATCGAACAGACGAGTCTTGGTAAATGGCTTGGCCAGTATGTCGTTCATTCCGTTAGAGTAATATGTTACACAATCTTGCGCTGATGTATTCGATGTCATGCTGATTATAGGCGTTGTTGGATCAAAACGTCTAATTTGCGATGTTGCCTCAACACCTACAAAAAAAAAAAAGATTTCGTTAACCACCTATATAAAACGGGAGTAAATAATCCGAGTAAAATTTTGTCACTTACCATCTAGGCGAGGAAGGACAATATCCTGATAAGAAAAAAATAGTTGGTTGATCAATGAGTAAAATATACAATAAGCAATATCACACCGATACAATAAAAAGATCCCCATTATTTACCATTAAGACCAGATCATATTTTTCCAAATTCATTTTCATCTTTCTCACAGCAGCAACACCGTCATCAACGATATCAATCTTGCATCCAAAAATTCGTAAGAGTTTCGCCCCAATGTCTTGATAAACAGCATCGTCATCAACCAGTAAAACTTTGGGCGGCACCGACCACTCAGTAGTCCGACCTCGCACAACTTGTCGAGAGTCATTTGCAGGCTGAGGACGTGGCGTTACGACTACCGACCCCAACGAAGCAACATCAGGTTTTTGCGTTTGTGGTGGTATAGGTATCGGATTGCTCTCTGGCGTCGGGTTTGAAAACGGTTTTGCGCCTGTAAGTTTTTCTTGAAAACGTCAACGACACGACGAAACGATGCAAATGCAGGAAACCAAAAACCTCACTTGGGATTAAAAAACCAATTGACATACCGGTATCTGGATTGACGAGATGTTGTAAAAGAGTTTGTAATATTGAATCTTGAGCACTCACACTTTTGCGCAAGGCATCCAGACGATTGTCCATGTTAGCCTGTAACTTTGTCAATGTATTAATCTGGTTCTGGAGTTCGATCAGCTGGGTGCTAGTTGAAGAGTCTGTCGCTGCCGTCGATGCAGGAGCTCTTCGACTGGTTGGAGTTTTCCTCTATTAAAAGTATGAGCAAAAAACCGTAAGCGTCGTCCTCACATGTGTAATCCGGCATCTGTGGTAAATACCTTAATGTCTTCCAACTGTTCTCGTTTATTGCATTGAAACTTTGGATGCCGAAACTCCCATGCCTGGATCATGATAAAATGTTATTAGTGCATTTGCGTTAAGTTTGCCTTAAGCCACAAGATTAAACGTACCTGCTCGCCATAGGGTGAGTGTGAATCATCCGAACTTCGAATCTTGTGAAAATCGTATTTGTTCAGTTGACGTACGAAACTCGCAAAGTTGGAATGTTTAAAGTGTCGCGGAAGAATGGCTTTTGTGAAGGCGTCGATTTCCTTTTTGTAAGCAACGAGGAATTTTTTTTAGTAATTCTGAAACATGGGGGAATGTAAACGAAAGACGGTTTTCTGTTTGTGTTTTTTACTACCTTTACAACAAAGCTATCGCCGTTGACACCCCAAGAGACAATGTCTTCGTAGGAATTGTCTTCCAGCATCCTAATAAATACAATTGACAAATCAAATTATTGCGAGTCAGTAAACCATTTGTTGCCCATTTGCCGACACTATGTTCCGCGCATGCTAATCACTGTAGTGGGGGGTGTGTGTGGGTGTGTCTCTCTCTCTCTCTCTTTCTCTTTTCTCTTTCTCTCTTTCTCTCTTTTTTTTTTCTCTCTCTTTTTTTTTTATTTCACGGACGAGTTACGAAAGCTCTATGAAACAGACGAGCATTCACCATGAAAGGTTGTTCAGGAGAGAGTAGAATAAACGTACTTGAATAGCTTCTTTACAAAGTCGGGACCACCCGAATTATTATTGTTGGACATTCTTTGGATTCAAGCAGTATATAGTGTGACTAAAAGTGATATGCTTATCTTGTTTATTGATTATTATAAGAGAATTTCGCGTAGCAAGCAAACAATCCAGGTTTTTCCAAATAAACTTGGTATAAAAGTGGAGAAAATGTGCGTGCTCAGTCCAAACTTTATTTGTTCTTGATAATGATCACGTGCAATAGGATATGTAACGGTTGCAGTGAACAAGGAAAGATTGGTTACGATCGTCGCACGGGTATGTAACTCGGGATTAAAATTCCCAAACGCGCACGTTTCTGTGGACGAGTAAAAATTAGCTGAATCGGGGTTGGGGTAGACGGAGCTTTCCATCACGATCTTCAGCCTAGTGTCTGTTGCCCTTGAAGGGAATAGCTGTCACGGTACATTAATTTCCCATAGCAATCGGCTAATACAAAAATATTGGGTTCCTTAGCCGTAAAGATTTCCTTTGTTGGACATAACATGACAAGATGGAAATTGATCAGAGAGGTCCAATTGGTCGAATGTGGATTTGGTCCAAGCTCAAGCTTTTGTTTTTGACGAATTTGGATCAATAAAAAAAAAAAAAGTACCATGTGTCACGCTGATTATATAAATTATCAAGAATCTATTGGTTATTGTTAGCTTACGTACTGTTTAAAAAAGAAATTTCATCTGTTACACAGTTGGCAACGCTTCCCCCTATTCACATTTTAACTCGACCAATTGATTCATTAACCAACATTCAATATTCGAATTAATCTAACGCATATAAATACGCGGCCAATGAGAATGTACAAAACAGGATATAGTGGGCGTAGTTGAATTGATCTATTCCCATTTCTATTAGTGATTTCGGACATGAGACCAATTTGAACGAATTTTAAATCCTAATTGGCAACATGACTGTTCCGATAAAAGTCCTTGTGTTCGAAATCCCCATCCCATACAAGGTGTGTTTCGTGTGGCATGTATGAAATCCACATATCTCTCATTCTAACACGTGCTTCCAATGTACTGGTTTCATTGGTATGGACATAAAAAGAAACTCTTGCAGATCCTCAAAATACGCTTGTTAGAGAGCGAGACTGATTTTACTATCTATTAACAGAGACTATTATAGCCAATTGAATGCAATGTCAAAAAGTCATGTCGTCGATTAGTGGGCGATTAACCCGTCAACCCAGTTTATACAACCTGTTGGTCGTTCCAATCTAATCCGTGTACACAAATTAGTGGGGGGGGAGGTTAGACATTAGTTTGATTAGGTAATCAATGACTAAGCCTATTATGTTAATGCACAATAATAAGTTAGCGATATAGTGATTGTAACACTATCCATCACTGTAATAAGGGGCTATACCCCAATTAGCAATTCATTCAGATTTAAACAAATAATTGGCAAGAGTCTTATATAAAGGGTTAAGTTGAGATCGAAAAAAAAGTGAGGAAAAAGGTTTTAACGCTGATATATATTAAATCCGTATTACTATATCATATATCATGCTAGACAAAATTTATATACAACTAACTGCGTGCGTATTTATTTGTGTCATTCGCTATAGCGAGGACACTGCTCATTGGGACAGGTACTAATGTCTGGGCGTATGACAACCTTCTTAATAAAGGACGAGAAATCTACTATTGATGCAGTGTCACAAAACCAGTATAAGCAGGCAGGATATCTGAGCGAGTATCGAGCCTATAAACAAAACTTTAATAATAGAGCTTGATCACTTTTTCAGATTCGATGAGTATCAGATTGACATAAACTCACCCGCAAGATTGACGTTACTAGTACTTGTCCAGGCTCGGCTACTTACACAACTGTGATAATCGGGATTGTGTATGTGCAAATAAGAGACGGTTTTTCTATTTAAACATATAATTCCATCCATCGAATTATATTAAAAGATCTTCGATCGCTTGGTACGGCTGCATGGATCGTACGAGTAACAGGGTTGATTGCATTACCCCATTTCAAATCAACGTCTTCCACATCACCTAATAGGGTCAATAAGAGGACACATCCCACGCACTGCCAAGGTTCGCTAGTCCTCTTTATTCGCAAAAAGACCATCGTGTAAAGGGAATGATTGCGTCGAGCTTGCTAAAAATCAATGTTGACAACAAATGCGATCGAATTGCATCATGCACAAATGTTGTGCTACTGTAATATATTGTTATGAAACGATTCGAGCGTTTTGACAAAACCAACACTCAAGTTACCATTACCATATTGGACATTGTAGCAATTCATTCGAGCAGTGGATAAATTTCTTCCCGTTCTAGGAAAGAGACTTATCGGGCAACTTCCCCGAGTTGTGTTGAAGCATTCCCCCAATCAAATTGCCAAAAGTCATAGCTAAGCTCTCCCCCAATTGATATATTATCAAGTTGGCAGTAACTATTGCAGATTGTGGTCGCGCGCACGGTAATAAACTTAGCTAATAAGAGCCTCCCTATATCGCACAGGCATTGTTTACATTGGTGTGTGCGTTTCGCAAGAAATTTCGGGAAACCGTTGATCAATTCCCCGAGTTATAATTTGCTCTTGATCAACTGATAGTAATAAAAATTTCCACCGGAATAAACACTCCGGATTTTTATGTGGCAGAAAGTGAAACTCAGGACCAACCATATCGAGCATTATTGTTTAGTAATTGGTGATACCAAAATTGTGTCTCCAAATATTAAACTTTGGCCATTAAACGTTTTGTGTGTTTCTGAACGTTATTTTAGCCGATCAACGACTTTTAAAGTATGTACGATGGAAACTACTTATACAATTGACCATGCAATAAGAAAGCTTTTTGCTGGCTCTCCAAACACTGTAAGAAAGTATAGGCTCGAAATTTCACAAGAGACTTCAATATTTCTAATATTGTGATACCCTCTCATCACGCATTGTAATAGATGACTATCACTATAGGAAACACTACTTTATTGGAAGAATTAAATAGAAAACTTATTCACAAGACTTGAAGGGTGAAACAGTTGTAAAATCACACTGGGAAATCTATAATACTGGTTATCAATTGATTACCCAAGCCAAGACTACTTGGCTAAGTTTTCTACACTCAAAGAAGCAGCTAGTTTTGGGTCTCGAAGCTGAGGTACGCTCAACGCAATACAATCCGATGTAAAGCTTTCAGTTACGCCATCGGGAATGCTAGTCAGCTACTCCTTATTGTTTGTGCTCTTTTCTGTTAAAAATATTTCCCCCTGGTTCTCCAGTCAATAAATTGCAAGTTATAGGAATGAGTTAATAATTAGAAAACAAGACCGCCGAATGTACCGTGCCGAATGTACAGCCGGATGTACCGCCGAATGTACATAATGTCCGAAGCGGCTTTGTATTGGCCAGAAAACCCTTGCAAGTGATATTTTAAAGATAGAGATTCTTAATAATACTGGCGATAAATAAACCATCGATCATAATACCCAAATCCCATTCCTAATTTTACCCCCGTTCTATTATTTTCGTTAATATTTACGTTCAATCTCTATATGCGAAAATTCAATGGTCAAATGCAACAAGCAAAACATTCTTCTACTTTGGAAAGAAAATACGTTATCTTCCCCAAATACAATGACCTATTTACGATCTTGCAACGCAGGTACTTCAATATACATGTTTAGTTATTATATTACGCCTTAATATGCTAAAAATGCTTTTTTCTTCGTATGTAATATTTACAAAACCAAATTGGTGAAAATCGTATTAGTATTGCTGTTACGAGACTGGTAAAGGTGCAATATCAACTGCGCTCACTGTTGGATGCACGGACCAACACACAATTCGTTATTATTGGATCGAGCTAGTACTCTTATTTCACTTGGTTTACACAGTGCGACCACACATAAATCAGAGAGAGGAATTTCGTTATTAACCGTATCTATAACCAGCGAATGATTCTGATGGCGTTGTTGTTGATGTCAGTGAAGAAATGCCTCGTTCTGGCAAAGCCATTAAAGCAGCCACTCGATCACGGAGAGCAGAAGAATTATTACTCAAAGTATAGTCATCATTAGCATCAATAATACAATCTGTTTTCTTAGTCGGTCAAATAACGTGAACTGAGCCAGATGAGTCTTCACTCAAAGCCGTGTCGGTTTAAGAGAGTGATACTAAATGGTAACGTTAATGGAAGAGGCAAGTAACTCTATACAAGGACCGATGAGATTGGGTTGGCTGATAACGTGATAATAGCAGATTTTTCTGTCAACAGTGTAAGATTTTATATCCAAGCTAAGTCTACGGCTGCTCTTTTAGTATAAAACGCTTTACTGTTAGAGGGTATCAGTATAGCGTATACTCGGCATATTTAAAATTTGCTAAAGAAAAGTGTCCCGTGAAGCACACGTGCATGGCATAATACTGATACTCTAACCGAAAAGACAACAGCGGACACCAGTCTAAGAAATTCCGAGGATCGAGAAGTTTCACAGGCATAAAATCCCTCGTCCACTACATGGAATTGATAGAAATTCTCTAACAATTTGTTAGCAGAAAGCTAACATTCTATCAAAGTTAACTAGTACGCAGACATAAGAGAACCATATATGTCATAGCGAAATCGAAACAGAAATGGAAGATGTTCAACAAACGATCAGTAAACTAGGCTTTGAAGGACCAATAACAACAGAAGTAGTATTAATGATGTAATACGCGGAGCGGTCGAAGAAAACTTTATCACAATTACGCTGTTAGGTCTCGAGGTAAAAACTCATCGTCATCAAAACAAACGGTTTTGATTACTTGTGAAATATCGATTCTCTATTCTGAAAATAAAAAAGGCTTACTGATTTTGTTACAAAGATGGGATATGATTCACCTTCAGTTAGAAAACCATCAGATGTGCATGTTGACTATGATAAAGTTTAATGATAGTATTGAATTACGGATTGCAATAGTAAACTGCAGTAATGCTTGCAAGCAGATTATTACATTAGTTTAAAATCAATGAAAATAATGAAACAAAAAACGATAAATGAATTTTTGATCAGCT